ATGTATAGCCAACCCACACACCTCTGGTATAAAAACTGAATTCTGACCTAGAGAAAAGAGACTCTGCTAAAGGCTGTAGCCCTTTGACTCTTCTGGACTATAATGACTCACTACAAAAGAAATGTAAGATGATGAATGGATAGATAGGTAGAAATGGTGATTAAAAATTGAGAGGAGTATTTTTAAATTCCCAACTTCAGTCTGTGGCTCAACCTCTTCTGAAAGGGCTGCACCATATGGAGAATTGAGTCTACTGCAGATAACAAACGTTATCCTCCCAAGTAGAGGATAGAGAAGTGGGCTTTTAAATCTGCAAGTTTTGGCTTCAGATGACAGTTACCTATAGACAGTTGTATTCAAATCATAAGGTCAACTTTGCTTTTGATTCTAAGATTGTCTAATTTTTACTGTCTTCTAGTAGTGCAGTTCTCTGTCTTTCAAGAAGCTACAATAGAAGGGACAAGATTTTCAGAATTATTTGATGGGATTTTTGTTTTTCATAAAAAGTTTTACATTTGTGAAGACAGAGCAGATACACAAAATCTGTTAAGTAAATTATATACTGTGTAACTTGGAAAATAAGAGCGTTGGTGGGGAGGGAGGGAATTTTCTGACAGATTTTTAAATGTTACACATTAAGATCTATCAAAAACTATACACATATAATGGTATTATCATACTTTTTCAGTGAGGAAGATATCCAGGCAGGCATCAGATTACTAGAAAGAGCAGTGTGAAAGTTATTGTTATAGGATGTATCCTTCAGGGAAAGCTGTCACAGAAAACAGTAACTTAAGCAACTAATTTGACAAAACAATCTTAGAGAAAACAGTAACTTGATTAATGTTTGTTCTTTTCTTTTTCTCCAACATAAGATAATTTTAATTTTAAAAGAAGGATCTGAGTAGATGAATAATTAAACTGATGGAATAGTATCCGACTTGGATTCTTTTTGCATATTGCTGTGATTCCTATGTAAAATCTAATAATTACAGTTTAGGCAATTTTCTCTCTGATGGAGGAGGTGTTGAGGAACAGCCATATCCCAGTGATTCAACAAGGAAGGATGGTGCAGTGTGTCTTGTGCTGGTGGTGGCTGTGCTTTCTCAAATGATACATAAAGATGGTGAAAAAAACTAAATGTGAAGAGGCCCTGTAACAACTTCATCAAAATTTGGCTTACTCTCAATGTATGGGCCAAGAAATTAATTTATTTCCTTTCTAATTTTTCCTCATGTTTTAAATAAGGTAACATAGTTGCTGAGATGATTTAAAGTGTGGAATAATCTACCTGTTTGGTCTTTTAGATCCAGGGATCTCTGGATTCTCCTGCTGTAAACCTCTGGGTGACTTTGGATGCAGCACTATAATGCATGCTGCTGCATTGGTTTCTCCATCTGATGGATACAGTCATCTGAGGGAAGCAATACATCTTCCTTCAAAAATGCTTCAGGAAATTATAGCACAGTATAAAGAAGTCCTGATTGGAAAAACACAGGTAATATGGCATCTTATTGTCTAGATTATTAATTCAGCAACTCTAATTTACAAAACTATCATACAAAACTGCTGAGAGTCCAGTCTTTGAAGGGCTTGCATAGGGCACATGTCTGGGAGTCAGGATATGCTGGCAAGTCTGCACTTGGGAGTTTATCTCCTCTGGGAGAGGTATTTATATATTAGATACATGGTAAAAACACTCTCTGCTACTTAGGGCCATTTATAATTTCCCTGTTCAAACATTCAAGCTAAATGCTGAATATACGCTTACTGACTCAGTGGCTCTCCATCTACCCAGCCCTCGAGGGATTGCTATTCTGGGCTCTGGGGTGATGTCACCACTCCTACTTCACACAGTTTCGCTGATGTGGTCCTGTGCCTTCAGCTGAGACATAGAAGATGAAGCTTTCCTTAGTAATTCTTAACTTTTGTTAACAGGTAGCCCTGTTTCTGCTGCCTGTACTATCTTTAAGAGAAGACTGACGTCTTTCACACAAGGGCCATTCCACTTTTCTTTTTTAAGTGGGCCTAAGACAGCTATTATGAAGTGAGTGAAACACCTTGTGTTCTTACTCCCTGCCTGAAAAACCCAGGGATGACTGCAGTGTATCACTGCTGCATTCAGGGAGCAGAAAACGAATTTTTTTTTTTCCCCCAGAAAGAATAGATCTGTTGTGAATCACTAAACTAGGAACTACAGAACCTGCACAGAAAACATATGAAGTGTCAGGCAGCTATGTTAAGAAGCAACTTCCAACCTTCTCTACCCACTAGCTCTTATTGTTTGTGCCAACACAAAACTAATGGAGGAAGAGAGGGTATGTGCTGAGCTCTTGATTTCTGAATGGCAGGGTTGGACTTGCCTTTAAGTCCAAACTTGCTAAGGTTCTAAAATATACAGTGAAAGCTCCTAAGTAAATTTTGTTCTGCCCACTGATAATACCATGCAATAACCATGCTTTTTCAATATTGCCATCCTGCAGTAATTAATGGCATCAAAGAGGATGTGGCAGGCTGTATAATAAATCCCACCATTCTTACCCATAAGCTATACCTGAAAGCCGGATGACTGTGAATTCTTCAGGCTACAGACTCTTTATCCAGTCATTTGAGAGAGAAAGAAGGGAAAGCAATGCCAATGCTGAACTCTAGAGAATCCACCCAACATTTTAAGTTGTTAACTGTCTATCATAGTTCCTGAGAGATTCCCAGCTTTTCCTGGGCTCCCAAAGCCACACTGCTCACAACATGTAAGTTGAGAGAACCTATTTTTATTGTACAAAACTGGGAGGTTGAAGCCTTGCACTAATTACAAACCAGTATGTAGTATCATCAGAGGAGCTATGACCAGCTCCTGCAAAAGGCTTACATAAGTGGTGAGTCATGCAGTCTTACGAAAGAATAGGGAGAGAGGCTTTCATTATGTTGTTTGCCTAATCAGAAATATGAAAATAAAAGAACACAGCACTCAGTGGGTTACGTTTGGCTAACTGTACACTGGAATTTCTGCAGTTGCACTACGATTGAGGCATTTCATTGTTTGTGGTCCCAGCTTATATTAAACAGAGAGGATTTTTTTCATAAATCTTCGCCTCTAGGGCAGAGTTAAGGTTGTTTGGGAACCCTAGCTATGTGTTTCCAGACATTAATGTCTAGAAGCAGCACCATGAGAGTAAAAATGAAGGTATATGCCTAGGGAGGGTACTGGGAGTAAATTAAGAAACCCAAGGGCAGGGTAGGGTTTGTGAGGATAAGCATGTGAAGAAGTAGTGAAGTGGAAGCAAAGCTTTTAGGATGACTGAGAAACAGTCTCTCGTAGATCATCTCATATCTTACTAGTCTCTTCCTGTGCTCTCAGGCAGGTAGCTGAATGGGTATTACTTCATCCATCATTTGTTAGCCATGAGTTCAGATGCCTACAGCCCTTAGAAGACAACTAGAGAGTTTTGAGGATCAAGGTTGGATGAAGCTTTATGTGCAGCAATAGTTCTCTTTTTACACTGGTCTGATTAACCTACCACTGCTTCTCATTTTCCTCCATTAGTCTTCTGCACCTCATGTGGCAAACTGGATCAGCAGGCTTGTCTCCTGGTGGAAAAAATAAACAAACCAAACAAACAAAAAAAAAGGGAAAAAAGGTAAAAACATAGCATTTATAACTATCCATATGTCTTTAAACATGGCTACAAGAGCTGAAGGCCGGAATGAGTGACAGTAGGAGGGCATCTGGAGAACCAAGTGGCCAAGGGACAAGGAACTTCAGCATTAGCGCAGCGCGAGGTCAGTGCCTCCTGTGTCAGAGCTGTTCGAACAATCCAGGTGAAACTTCTTTGTTTTCAAATAGCTAATTTGGGACTGCATGGAGCTGTAGTCTCTTTGTCTCCACCTTATTCTCCTATGGATCCACATGCTTGCTCAGTGCAAATACTCCTAACATAGTGCACCTGAGCAGAGGAGCCAGTAGACATTTCTACCTGCCCCACAACCTTCCTCCCGCTGCCTTCCTGCCTCGAAAGGGAACACAGTGCAATGTGTCACAAGCAGAACAGGCACTACTGTATGAACCTTCAGGAACGTATAATTGCTCCTCTCTAAGTTGCCTGACTGCCTTCAAAAGGACTAGTATGCAGGATGCTTAAGGTTTGGGTGGGTTTGTTTTGGGGATTTGGGGTTTTGTGGGGGTTTGTTTTGGGGCTTTTTTCAGGAGGTGGGGTGGAATCCTCTTCATCAATCAATGGGTGGGGAAAAAAAGCAAATTGTTCAAAGCTGGTTGACTCGTCATTTATTTAAGCCCTAAAATTGCTCTCCAGAATGTGTATGCCTCCCCCCATCCCTCATTACTTCGAACCTTGGCTGTTCTTGCTGCACTGCAATAGCAGAACCCCGGACTCTGTCCCTAAGCCCTCTTCCTGGGCAGCTGTAGGGCCGGAGTTGGAGACTCAGGTGACTGCAGCGGATTCTGTCCCGCAGCCGGCCCAACCCGCCCTGGTAGCGGGGCCCGCACCCGCGGGGGTCCCGGAGGCTGGGATATCCCGAGGCTCAGGGGGATTCCACAGGCTGGGAGGTGCCGGGGCACCTTTTCACTGCTGCGGCCACGACAGGAAACAGCACCTGGGCTCAGCAATTCCCAAATCAAAGCTTTTTTCGAGGCGGGAGGAAGGTGAATGAAAAGGACAGTATTTTCACAAGTGCGGTGTTCCTCGCACATCCCTGGCCATCCATGCCCCCGGCAGCCAGAGCTACCCGAGCCCGGCCGGCGGCCCCTCTGATGTCAACGAGCGATGCTCCATTGAGCCTTTAAGAGCCCTTGATGGCCGGGGCGCGGCGCGGCCGCCCATGCCCGGGGCCCCTGGCCCTGAGGGCTGCGCGCCCTGCCCGGCGCTCCGCGCACTCCCCAGGCCGCGCTCAGCCGGGCCGGGCCGGGCCCGCGCAAGGGCCGCTGCCCCCTCAGCGCTGCGCGGGGCACCCGAGGCGGCCTCGCCGAGCCCGCGGCGCCGTCCATGGCGGCCCGCCCGCCCTGCCCGGCGCTGCACCTGTGCCTGGCCGCGCTGCTGAGCCTGCGGGCGGCCAGCGCCCTACCCCTGGCCCCCGGCCCGCGGGACGAGGTGCAAGCGGCGGCTTTGCAGCGGCTGCGGGAGGTGTTCGACATCGAGGAGCTGCCGCCCGACGTGCTGCCCCGCAAGAAGCCGCCGCAGTTCATGGTGGATCTCTTCAACAAGGTGGCCGACGCCGACGGCATCACCCGCGCCCCGGGGCTGCTGCAGGGAGACGTGGTGCGGAGCTTCGAGGACAGAGGTGGGGCGGGGGGTGAATCCCCACGGCAGAGCGACGGGGCCCCCGCACCGCCCGGCCGACGGCACACGGGCACAGACCCGGCGGGGTACGCGGCTGGTGCTGCCGGGGCTGGTGGTGTTCCTAAAGGAGGGTCTTTTCCAGTTCACGTGGACCAGCATCGCTTCTATTTCGACATCAGCGCGATGGAGAAGGGCGAGCAGATGCTGAAAGCAGAGTTCAGGGTCTTCAAGCTCAAGATGGCACGTGTGTCCAGAAGGTCCGGCGTGAAACACTTCTGCAAAGTAAGTGGTAAAATAGGTAAACACTTAATTATGCTATACCAATGTCAGACCTATTCCAAATCATACCATACTTTTCCGGGATTTTAGATGCTTCCAAATTCGAATAGAACTTTATCCGCTTGAGCTGTTCTGAAAAATAATAATAGCAACCAGGGATTCATAAGAAAACAGGGCGAATAAGGATTCTGACATTGAGTCTATACTTCTCTGGCAAAGAGCAGGATGGGACTTTTCACAAACCTGAAGACAAAGATGTGGAGAAACAGAAGACTTTGAAGGTATTAGTGTTCAAAATAGAATAGGAATGGTCAGGATATTTTTCTGTAGTATCAAACAGTTTGGCATCCTGCCTCTGAACACATCTAGAAGTACATGTATGTAGTGATAATTGCTTTCTCTGTTAAACTGTCCAGTCCAAAACCTACTTTTTGCTTTGTTTAGAATGATGGTAAAGAATTACAATTATGGTGTAGCAGAAATGTGCATAATCTTCATATTTCCTGTTTTGCTGGAAGAACAATTGGATTAATTTCTTATTGGTTTTGTTGTATTGCTTTTATCAAGGTGGAAGTGTACGAGCTCTTGGAGAGTGGAAGTAAGCCACAGAAAAAACATCTCATTGCATCAAGATTATTGTCCCTGTACACAGAAGGCTGGGAAGTCTTCAGTGTCACGCAGACAGTAAGCAGAGAAGTGTGACTTCACTTTTTTTTTAAATCTCTTAAGGTGACAGCTCATAACACCAGCATTGCCATTATGCTGAGATTTGTGGTCAATTCAAACTGAAGGACAGCAGCAGAGGGAGAAGCTTTCTCTCTACACTTAAAAGTACACGTGGTACTACCTGAATTAAAGGAGAAGTGTTTATATGCTGCTAGCAGCACAAGCATGGTGAGAATTGAGTAACCCAAACCTAATCAACGGAGGGACATCAGGCCAAGTATGTCATTGTGATAAAAACAATAATGTGTTAGTCCTTAGACTGCCAAAGGATTTGGCATTGACTGTGTACCAAAAGTAAGTTTTCATTTCTCCTTTTTATCCTGGCGACATTTCTGTAGAGCAGTATGCTTCAACGTTGTGTTTCTGGAATTTATTATACTGGTTGGATTGCTTTTCATTTAACTTCCTCTGTGCACTTCTTTATTTGTTAGCTTCAAGATTTGTTTTGTAGATATCCATAAACTGTAACGGTAGTAGGTGAGCGCCTTTCCAGGGCAGAAAAAAGCCACACGTGGCTTAAGACAAATATTTTTGGGGGTTTAAAACTGTATTCTGTGACAGTGTTTTTGTTGCCTAAGCTTTATGATCCGACTGAACAGCATGCTTGGATGGTTGGTCAAATTGCATCTTAAGTCATGATATTCCTGCTTGAGAATTGCCTGGCCTTATCTATTAGTGTGTAATTATAACAATTAGATGAGAAAATGTGCTTGATTGCAAGTTAATTTCTTCAAATGCCACGTTTCTTAAATTTAAATGAGTCAACAATTTGGAAGGTCTGGAGGGTTCATTTTAGTCTGTTGAGATTGCTATGAAAATATATATATCTAGTGAAGGTCGAAGAGTGTTTATTTTAATATTAATACTTAAACTCATTTATTCACTGGTAAATTCTATGACATTAATTATCTTGCTGTAAATATAGGTTTGGGATATTCATACGTTATTTTGTATTTTTAAGTGCTGAATTACTGATTTAAATATTAAACTCAATGGACTCTTAGCTATACAGTTATCTCACTTATGTCATAATATATGTCCTTATCCTCTCATAGCTTGTTGCCTGTTCCCTCTTCCTAATATAAACGTTGCTTAATCATAATGCTGTAATAGGAATATTGAAACAATATTATTTCCCTGTCACTACTAGGTTTCCAAGTGGGTTGGAAACAGCAGCTCCAACCATGGCTTTTTGTTAACAACGACACATGTATTCAACAATAGAATTGAACACAACCTGATTAAGTTTGCCAAGAGCCAGGACACTTTGCAGGAGAGTAGAAATGCTCTCCTTGTTCTCTTCACTAACAGTAACAAACGGAGGTCTCCCAGCTTTGTACTGTCCTCCACAAGTAAGTTCACTCGAGTTTTAGAATATGAACTGTCTGTTCAGCTTCTGATAGCTCCTGCTACCTCATGTATACCTAACCTCAGTTATTTACTTGCAGTGTTGAACATGTTTGAAGTTCAGCTTTGTCACTGATCAGAGTTTGATTTGATAGTTCTTGATAGTAGATCACCCAGCATCTTAAGTTGCCTCTCCCCTGAGAAAAACTGGGTTTGCAGGAAATATTCGTAATGCCTGAGGGGAACCTGGTTTATTTTTTGTAAAGCGATGGGAGTTCTATTTTTTTAAGTACTATTTATATTATTTCTGAGGTGGTGGGTGAAAATTGTATGTTAGGTTTAGACTGAAAAAACTTGGAAAACTTTGTGAAAATGCTAGTAAAGTATCTATAAGTAGAGTTATTAAGTGTAATTTTCAAGAGTGAAAGAGGCTGTTAAATAAGCAATTTGAACCTCTCTGTCCTTGGCTTGGTTTTTAAGCACCTATTTAAACTTCAGTGACTAATTAGCATTGTGACAAAAGGCTGCTTTCATCAAAGACAACGCCCTTGTGCCTTAAATCACAAAACAGTGTCTTACCTCTCCCACTGATCTTCCTGTAAAAAGAACTCAGGCTGGATTTTTAGGGCCTGATAAATGCAAAGAGCAAAAGTTGGGAGGAGGGGCAAAAACAATGTAGTTCTGGCTTTGCAGGCTTTTCTGGTAAACGATCGTATTTGAATATCAGAAAGAAGCTAGGTAGGACTTGGATCAAAATTAAGAAGTAGATAGTGAAATTGATTAAAAATAAAAATGAAGTTGACCTGTTTATTTTTGTTTTCCAAAGAAAAATTAGTAATGAAATCCTAGATCCCAATTTAATGAGAATCAAGCTCTGCATGGGATACTATACCAGGATTGAGAAGTTTCTCAATCAAGAAACTCCCTAGACCTGCCTGTTGTTTGTGGTCAGTGACTACACAGATTGTTCTTCTACATATCAGTGAGTTTCAGCCTCTGTAGGTGGATCTTGAGACCTCCATGGATCTCAAGGCTTCTCAGAAGATACTTCAGAAAGCACCCTATTATCAGTAAGCTTTATTCCTTAGCAGAATTCCATAAACCTGGTGGAGATTTTTTAAGATCAAAAAATTGAAAAATATATTTTTTAAAATGTTACTTTGTACGTTACCAGGTTACTGCACACTCTGTTTTGCAAGTGTACAAGTAGAGTTTGTGGGAGAATACTGGAGAGAAAGAGACTGTGATCTCCACCCTCAGCACTGCTCAGCATAATGTGTGTTGTAGGAGTGGCTGTATGAAGACTGTTAATACCATTCTGACCAGATTCAGCCCTGAAGAGGGACCGTGGAGTTCACAAAATGTATTTCGTAGATCACTGACTTTTTCCTTTCTATTTCTGCTGAATTGGGGCGTTTTTTCACACAAAGTTAAATGCAAGATTTGGCAGGTTTGGAAATATGGCTGAAATGGCAATTGAATACACACCCCTTCTGGTACTTTCACAGGTCAACTGTCATTTCAAAATCTACTCTGAAGGCTTTGATGTAGATTTATGGAATGTATTTTCATGCAGTACTTAGTAAAGGAATTTCATTTGTGAAATATTAACACACAACTTCCTTTCAGAATCAGAAATAAACCCTGACAAAACTGATGCTTCACATGTGCCTCATGAAACTGATGTCATCAAAAGCAGCAGTGCAAGCACGGGCAGGAGACCTCGAGCTGCCCCAGTCCCTTCTGCCAAAAGCCAGGTAACAGCATGTCATCGAAGGGAACTCTATGTAGACTTCCATGCTATTGGCTGGTCAGGATGGATTATTCATCCGAGTGGATACAACGCATTTCATTGCAGAGGATCCTGTCTCTTCCCTTTGGGGGAAAGTCTAAATGCAACAAATCATGCTACAGTTCAGTCCATCGTCCATACACTGAAACTGTCTCAAGATGTCAGCATGCCCTGCTGTGTGCCAGACCAATTGAAGTCCCTCAGCCTTCTCTACTTTGATGAAAAACAGAATGTGGTCCTTAAAAATTATAAAGACATGATGGCAACAAGGTGTGGTTGTCATTAGCAGGACCTCTTTTTGTCTGCATTTGGTGTGCACCTGGATTCAGTTCCTCATTTGTCACTGAAGATAACAGACGAGATGGTATTTCAGTTTACAGGGCAGGAGAGCCAGAAACTTATCTGTACTTCTCCTCTCACCACAGCTCTGTGGAAAGGTGGCTGACTTTTGAAGAGTTGTGAACTTCAAGACCTCCGTGGAGAGCTCTTTGAGTGCCTGTACACCAGAGGAAACTATTAAAATCAGGACTTCCTATGTGAAGGAGTTGAAACAGATCAAGTTGACTGTTCAAATTAAGGTCTTGTTCTGTATATTAATGCTCAAAATTTTCTGTGATTCAACAGGCGTGGTATCCTGCCTCAATCCAGGATGGGGTGCAGGTGTGTTAATAACACAACCTTATTCGGTTTTGGCTGCATGATCCAGTAGGGATGTACACTCCTAAACTGAGCTTTCAGGGTATTTGCCTACAGCTCATCTTGGAGGCCTCTACCACCTGCAGATGATGCATTACCAGGAAATGCACTTCTTCCCTGTGCTTTATGCAACTCTACCAAATGCAGAAACCTCCTTGTAAGTCCCCATGGTACTTGCTAGCCAGTCTGAGGGAATGCATAGGTCAGTATTTGTCTGCTAATCAGCATATTTGGCTTCTAACTCAGGGCTGCAACTGTATAACGAAGGGTCAGCCAATTCCTCTATAAAATTATTCTCTGCTGTGGCTGTTCAGCTGTGTGGCACCAGAGATTGCCTTTGTGTGTTTGCACAGTGGTTGTACAATGGGATCCTAAGCTTGGGTCAGAATACTCATAGCTTAGCAGGAAGAAAACCATTAAGGTTTGAAGGTCCATGGGAACATGCTGGATGCTGGCCTGGTCCTGTGTCTGAGGCAAGTTTGTTGGAATGTACTCACTGATTCCCTTCCATTCTTCCTTGAAGAATAGGACATAGACTTGTAAGGGGCCCCCTGAGGGCTTTCAGAGTTTCATGCAGGTAACTAGCCCAGTACAGTTCCTCAGTCAATTCACTGAGTTGTACCTTTATCCAGGTTAGGTTTGTTGTCTCTATTAATCCTTGAAGGAGGCTGATTTCTCACTGAATGTGACATCTCCCATGGGTAGAAACTTCATGGAGAATTTTTTTACTCCAATGAGACTTAAAAAAAAGAATATATATTTATGTGATGTTTTTCTTTCTGTAAATACTGATGTCTATAATAAATTTATTTTATTTAAAACCCAAACACTTTGGGTATATTAACTTAATCTGTAATATAAAATGTTAATTTTTTAAATAAATGTAATGTGACATTGGTCTGTTTTGTACATTGTATTTGAACCTCCTCCCGAGAGGCCTGAATCAAATACTTCTCCAGAAGAGAGGATATTCCCAATGGCTGTGGCAGGTACTGTATCAAGTCCTCTGATTCTGTGTCAAGAAGTATAATGGATAAGCAGAATAAATGAGTTTCTCTTCAGGAAGGATCCAGTGATTGTTCCTGAAATGAAAGCATCTTGATCGTGGTGTATGGTCACCCTGGTGAAGTGGAATGCAAATCTGGTAGCAGGGTGGTTCTCACTGCTGCATCAGCCACACTCAGCCATGGCTGGGCAACTGGCATTGGCAAAGGGACCTTGGAAAGCTTAAAGGGTCATAAAGGATCATATTTTACTGGTTTATTTCCCAGGCTGCTCTTTTGCACTTTTCCCTTTTCACTGCAGAATTACCTGTGGTGTTTTAAGTCTGTAGGAACCACACCTTGGGAGTAGGAAAATGTATCTACAGTGAGAGTCCAGACAAGGTCACTTCTGAATGGTGACTTCAGCTGATATTAGTTGTGCTTCTTTTGGTAGAGGCCCTAAGAACTGAAGTCATAAGTTTTCATAGCCAAGTGACACTGGAAGAAGGGCAGCATTTGGAGCAGACTGGCAGAGCCAGTTTCTGTGTCCAACATACTCATCTTCTGTCCATGCATGACAAATGCTTCCAGCACCATCAGCTTCATCCTTCACTGCTCAACCCAGAGAATTGTTCAATTTTTTCTAGGATATCTTAATGTGTTTCTTCTTGTGTCAGAATCCAGGGAAAAAAAAAAAAGGAAAATTTTCTATTGAAAAGCAAGTACGATTAATAAATAAATGATGGGCACACTGAATATTAGCTAACATAGTGCTGCCCTACAATAGGTGAAATATGCACAGGCAAGCTAGGAGCACTCAGTAGTTTTGCACACATTAAATTATTTTTTTTCTGCGCCACTCAACATAGTCTCATTATGCGCCATTAAACCCTGATAATTAAAACAAAATATATTGGAATTGTTTATCCTGGACTTTGTAAGGAAATGAGGTTCATAATAATGCCAAGGGAAAAAATTTACACTACACCACAACTTGTAATTAGAATAACAATTAAGCACAAGTAGGCTCCTTTTTTGTTGCCTTTTTTGTTTTGTTTTGGTTTAGAATAAAGGTGAATTTTCTTCTTATTCATTAACTGAAATATGTAAGAATTCCAAAATAAGAAATTCTACACATCGGAGTCTTGGTTAAATCAGAACATGATATGTTTAGGTGACACACCAAACAGCAACAGCCAGAGTTTTAGAGGGAATAGGAGTTGTCTTCCGCACAGTCAGTCTGGAAAAGGATTGATGACTCAAACTGAGCATTGTTATACCATGTTGCACCACCCCAGCAGAAGGAGAAAGCAAGGCTTGTAGCAAACCCTGTTGTGATGCACTGTACCAAGACCAACAAGGAGACCACCTGGCCCTGAAGAGCTCCCTGTAAAGAGCAGAAACAAAAAGGAATGAGTGCAGATTTTACATTCAGGCTGCCACCAAGAACATTACACCCCAGGAACTGAAATTTGGAGATATACAGATGAAGAGCTACATATTAAAGGACCAAGAGCATGGCATCATCTCTGCCCTGCCTCCAGCTCCAAGCCTCAGAGGGCACAGGCACAGCGAGGGCCTGCCTGGGCTGGAAGAAGAGTGACCTCAGTCATTCCCTGTGGAGCATCTGTACAGTGCTCAGCTCTGCAGCTCGAGGACTGCTGGCTCAGATCTCTGACAGCTCAAGGATCTCTGCATCCTCTCCATAGCATGGGATCAGTGTGATGCTCCTCTAGCAATGCAGCTCATGTTTTGTACCCACAGGCATACGGAAAGCAGTACTTCAAAGGGAGAATGACTCAGACAACCTTAGAAGAGAATCCAACCCCATGGTAAAGCCGTAGGCTTATGCTCAGCCCCACGACAAAGCATTTGGTCCAGTTTGGGAACTAAAGTGGTCCATGCATGTGAGGTATGTGCAGTCACACTGTACTGCTTAAGGTGAGGACGCCACTAAGCCTGGCCCTGACATCACTGCAGTGAGATGGTAGTGGGGTGTCAGTATATTGTGGGAGAGAACTAACAGCAGGGAGTACAAATTCACGAGAGTGGTCTTCTGTTTGCAGAAATGTTTGTTTTAAGTGATTTCTGTGGCACAGTTTTCACAAGGCATAGATGACAGAAAGTACTTGTTGGTACTGAAGCAGGAGGAGGGATACGCTGTGAATGTCTTGGGATGGGCAGAAGGGATGGGCTTGGGGAAATTGGTCTGGGATGGTTTCCTTTGGTGGGACAAGATAAATGTGCCTGCCCCGAGGAAACTGGAGCACAGCAGTGTTGTAAGCAACTGAAAAGCCTCTGCTCTACACTATCCTCTCTGCAGGCTTGAAAATGCTGCTCGATGTGAGGCATTCTGTTTGAAACGCTCGATGTTGTTTCCAGACTACCTAGAGTAGTTACTATAGTTTCTTGTGTAGGTGTAGGAAATGGGGCAATTTCTTGAAAGACCCGTGAAGGGTAGTACTTATTCATAGTCCTGGAGTTTGTCTCCTGGAAAGAGAGGAGTGGCTGGGTGCCTGTGATAAGTTCCAGGGCTTTCCCACAGATACAGTCCCTGTGGACTATAACTGGTCCCTTTCAGATCACATATGCAAATACAAACATGTATACATGCGCGTTCTTTCTTATGTACACACCCACGTGCACATGCGTTCGTGTTCAGAGGTAGCCTCACTCCTGGTTTCTCCAAATGATGGTGCAACTTTTCCATAACCAAGTTGGAGTGCTCGGGATAATTTGAGAACGTTGCCACATCCAGAAGGTGCATTTCAATGGCTTTGTGCAAAAGTATGTCACACCTAAGCCACTTCTCCCCTTCTGGCCTGAAGTGCAGCTCACTGCTAAGGAGAGTAGTTAACAGGTGTGAATTTGCCTTACCTTCGATGAATGAGACAATTGTGCGTTAAAGCAGCTAATAAAATGTTTTCTTTCTTCCCGCTAGGTTTATTGCTAGAAGCCATTCACAGAATAAGGGGGACTGCTAACTTTCTGTTGTCACAGGATGTGTGCAGCTTCAGATTCATGCAGATACCAACTGCGCTAATTCAGGCCGAGATCACAGCCTGTCTTGTTCTGGAAAAGCAAACCTGCAGGTTTTGCCTGGGAAAATGACCTGATACTGAGAGGTGACTGACCTTTAACTAAAACCATGATTTTGTGATGTATAAATCTAGACCTCGTGACACAAAGCAGCATTAAACCCCAGCACACTGGTTCAGATCTGCTCACAGAAATCTTGCTTGGTAAAATATCAGGTTAAATTGAATTGTCAGGCAGCACAAAACTGGTGTTAAAAATCAGTATAGATTCTGTAGTGTGATCCACATTGTAACCAACTGTTTGTCTATGTCAAATTTTCTGCTGAATGTTCTGAGCCAGTGTTGATGGCCAAGCAACTGTGTCCATAGACTAAAAGGAAAAAAAAGTATAATTTCCCAAAGACACTTGTAAAATTCCATGGGGTTAAATCACGCTAAGCATTGGGCCAACTTTCCTGACAATAAAAACCCTAGGGCTAAAGTGCTGCTGTGAATAACTTATCACAATTTCCAGAATAAGCAGTAAATTCTGAGTCTCTACTGCTGGTCCTGGGATTCCCATTTTACTGCTGCAGTCCAGGCTGTAAGTGGAAGGTGTCAAGGTTTTAAGTGGCTCAAAATCAGATTTAGAACAGATGGTGATGCAAGAAAGAGAATTGAGAGACAGAAATTGAAACTCTGATTTATTGACAGGAGAGGCAGACATTTGCTGTTGAAGTTAGGGCATCATCTCTGTTTAGAAAAAATAAGCAAATGTAAACATGTTAGTTAACCCACTCAATATATAACTTAACTAGATCAACCAATACCTTCTGAGAATTGTTTCAATTTATTTTCTAAAATTTATGCTTTTTGTATCACAAAAAGAAGAGGACTGTGCACCATGTTGGGGGAATGGAAGAAGTTATTTAATTTGCCATTTGTAAAATAATCCTGTGCTTGATTTACCAACATTACTTAAGAATTGAATCACATAAAAAAAATAGCCTGGAAAGGGCCTCTGCTTGTCACCTGTGTCCAACCTTCTGGTCAAAGCAGTGTTGATTTCAAAGTCATAGCAGGGTGACCATGACAGCATCAAAATGCCTATCCAGATAACATAAACATGGTGTTGAACCATCTCTGTGCTCATCTAGAGACCTGAGATAAGTTTATTCTACAAAAAAGCCAATTACCCTCTCTTGTTAACACAAAGAGTTGCAGAGAAATCAAGAGAACATGTCTCTGGAAAATGTGAGCTGTTTTCAGGATTTCTTAAAGCTGAGACAGCAGTCAACATCTTCGAAAAGCAGGTCATTGTTTTAGTGGCTCTTCATAGATGAGTATCCTGAAACTGGACAGCTATTTTTGAGACTATTATATTGTTCACAAATATTTTTCATCAGAGCAAGGGAGAAATAATAATGCAACTGATGCATATTTCAAAGGCCAGTTCCTAGAGACTTCCAAGCATCTGAAAAATTCCAAATAAACTGGTTGGTTGATGAGAAAATAAGGACCACCCAAAGAAAATGAAAACCCGAATCTGAAATATCATCTTTTTCAAATTTTAAGTGTGACCTGTGCAGTTCTCAATCTTCTATTAACTCTGGGTACTGATTAGGCAAAAGGAAATTACTTTTCTGCTTTTAACCAGGTTGAATAATATCCATAATCATATCAAACACTTTATGTGACGTCTATTCAATTTTCAAAAACATTGCTTTCTGGGTAGCCAGAGCAGCTGCTTCTGGGGAAAAAAAACAACCAAAAACAAAACAAACAAACTTTTCTCCAAAGGGATGGTTAAATATTTAAGATGTTAACTTACATAGTCTGAGTGTACAGGTCTCTTCTGGAGTAGTTGTCCACTATAGACAACTCAAATATGTCGATTCATCTTTCTGTATCTCATTTTCCTTCCTTCAAATAATGCTACTGCTTTTCTCACTCTTATAACTGCTCTCTTGGAAATCTTTTCTTCACAAATCTTGGTTAGAAGACTTGTTTTATTGGGAAAGAAAACACCTGGGAAGAAACACCTTTATATGACATCTTCACTAAAAGCCCCAGCCAATCCCCTGAAAACAAGGGTTGTTTTGCCTCATCAAATCCTGGCATAGTCTCAGCCTGTGCTTTGAGTCACTTCAAATGGTAAACATGGGTAAAGGCACAGCTCCAGGCAGAGGACTGATGACACTCAATAAGGCTCCTGGCAGATTAATCTTCTGTGCCACTAGAGGTGCCACAAGGTACCTTCTAGTTTTCCATGGAAAGGGAAGGCAAGTGTGGTTTAATGGGCTGTCTTCTGGGTGTTCACATGGTTCTGGCCAGCTCTGAAAGAAAACATATAGTTCTCTTAGACACAGTCCTGTATAGAGGATGGGAGTGAAGGTCTGTGTGTACCTACATGAACCTTTTTGTGATCTGGGTTGAATGAGTGTAACGCTTGTGGGGACATAAACCCAAGAGGTCCTGGGATCAGGGCTGGCATGCTGAATGACTTCTTGGTGCTATGTAATTTAAGGTAATACCCTTCCTGTCTCATGCACTTCCTTTGCCATGTCATGAAATTTCTGTCCAAATCCATCGGTTGCTCAACCCTTGTCCAGGCTTTGATAAGAGACTTTCCTCTCTGATGTTGCAGGTTCCTATATCTAAGGGTCATGTAATTGCAGTCCAGACAGCAGCTCTCAAATGAGAAGAAAATATATACCAGTATATGCATACCAGTCTATGCAGTCCCCATTAAAAGAGAGTGGGAAAGACAGGGAGGGAGAGAGAAAGAGAGAAATTGAAAGAGAGAGAGAGGGACAAGGCTTGCTTTCATTGCAAGTGAGACCATGAACGTAAAAGTTCAATAACCAGAATGCATTTGCTTTGTACATTCTAAACCTGCTGCAGCTACTGTAACCAGCACATGAAGTTAGGTCTAATTGCTGCTTTCCAGCTTGACCTAATTGATGCTCTGATTTGCAGTCACCTACCTCTGTGAGCCCATGTTTCATTACATTTTACCCTTGCTCCTGAAATCCTAAAATTCCCATGGGGAAAAATAGACTACAGCGATCCATAGCTTTTGTATGTGAACTGACAGTTCTTTCTCCCCTGTAATTTTTGTTCATCTATACACGAACAATGAAAATACAATGGGTTGACAGAGAGATTTATTAGTTACCCCAAAATACTCCTTATTTAGGCAGATATAAGTCCTTTTTACTTAAACTCTGAATGAAAACTACAGTGATATAAAATCAGCTTAGAGATGTTTTCATAACCTAATTGGGGTGTTTATATTAAAAGACTATGTTAGTCTCTGCCCATAATTGCAAAGAAAAAGTTCTTTGGTGAAGAATGTGTCAGTAATTTTCATGGAAAATGATTTAAAGGAAGGCTTTTGAAATATGGAAACCTCATGGTTTTAGCTTTAAATAAGCATTTCAGTCAACATAAAAAAGCCCCTCTAATGTCTCCTGCAGCTTTGATTTCAAACACGTCACATTCTTCATTAAAGCAATCATTGTTAAAACAGAGGGACATAAAGCAACATAGGATTTATTCCTTCATTAAACTGATGATCCGTATATGAAGCCAATTAACATTATGAGTCTGGTGAACATCAAGTGTAAAGAGGTTACAGAAAATTAAAAGCAGTCACCTTGGTCTTTAGATAAAGAAAGAACACTTTTACATTATAAATTATAAGAGTGTCCAAGCGGGACAAATCGGCAAATTTGGTTAATTGGAAAATACATTTTACTGCACATGAATTAGGGTAAAATAACCTTTTAGCTGCTAGCTTTTTTCTGTAATCAGGTATTGAGAATCATGGGAAAGGAAGTGTTTGGACATGGAAAGGCAAAAGACCCATTTCATCAAACTAAGCCATTCAGACTTCCTTGAGTTTTACAAATGAGCCCCTCAAAGCTCAGTGCTCTGAAGGAAAAGGTCCGTTCAGCGATTTTGTTCATCAGTTCAGCCCTAGGTTTTGTCGTTGTGGGTGAAAAATGAGAAGAGGTGTGTTCGTGTGTGCAGCACAGGAACAGTTCTGCTGTCAGACAGACACAATCAGCAGAATGTCCATCCAGAATTATATTTAGTTGGGCTTTTTCTTGCAGACCTACTAACTAATATTGATGTCACTCTAAGTAGTCACAGTAATAATAACAGTAATAATAACAGTAATAAAAATTAAGTTTATGAGAGAGACTTTAAGGACTTTACATAACCAGGGAATTTTCTTCTGAAATACTGTAGCTCTGTACGTTATTTCATTCTACAACTTATTTTTAGCGCTTGCGTTTGGCAGCTGGCTGAGAGGAACCGCCAGAGAAACATGGTCCCAAGCAATTTACTGGATATTTTTTCCACTGTGGTCCCAGCTTCGCAGGAAAGCGTCTACTGCACGGAGAGACCCAGAAGCAGCCCTGCCAGCATCCTTCCGGAGCAGGGACTAGAGCCGGTCCGCCCCAGCGGGCGGTGCGGGCCGGGGGTGCGGGAGGAGCGGCGGGCGCTCTCCGCGGTGCTGAAGCGCCGCCGCCGCCCCTGGGCTCCGGCCGCCCGAGAGCAGCGCCCAGGACTCCCCTGCGCTAACTTTTAATTATGTCAGCCCCACGTTTCGAGCATTAAAATTAAACAGACATCGAGCTGGCGAGGGGTGGGGGATTATATATTGCTTAGTTATCTCCTTGTTTTGCAGCTGCTGCTCCTTGGGAGAAAGTTGAGCATCGGCCGGCTCCGGGTCCTTCTGTTTCTATTTAAAAAGCAGCGACTTGGAGCACTTCCCCGTGCTCCATTCCGCCCTCTCCGCCTCCTGCAATACGCTGAACTTGCAGGCTTCAAACTGCTGGGGAAAGTGAGTCTTGGAGCCAAAACAGCAATGCAGCCCTTGACTAGAGCAAGGCCTGAGAGTGCCATAATGAAGTTATTATTATTTTATTAGGGGTTCTTATGATAAAACACTGTCTCACTCCCCTCTTCCCGATGTCAGAGAAAAGTCACTTCTGTCTCTGTGCAAAGGGATCCTACAGTGCTGACCCTGTGTGCATTTTAAAGCTCAGGATGGAGAGGCTGGCAGGGGAGACCCAGGCAGCACCTCTGGGTTATGTTCTTCTTTTTAAGGTTACTTGACCTAAAGCTTATGCTACTATTTTAAGGAGGTCAATTGGCTTCAGAATACTGGTCTTTGATCTTGCACGGTGCTGTAGAAGCTGTCTCAATTGGTACTATACTTTGCTACTCAGAGGCTTTCCTGGATGGTAAGTCAATATCTGTTGTCAAACAAAGATATTCATAGAAGTGTTTATGTTAATGTGTAGACACGTAAATATTTATGTATACATATAAATATATAAACATATGAATGCAGTTTTCTAAATCTGTTACTAGTATGATAAAATTGTAAGTCAGGGGATAAGATCAGATTAAATCAATTTGGATCTCGAGTACAATTAATTTTTGCCTTGTTTTGCTAAAATAATGCTTTGCACGGCTGAAACATAACTTCAGCTTGAATATGTATTAGGGGAATTTCCACATCTATACCAAGTGTGAAAGGCAGATAGAGCAGGTGATATTTCTAAGGCTTATTTGTGTTTATATAATGAGATCATATGTGCAAAATAACTTTCTAAAGACATAATCTATTCAAAATCTCTATTTCTGCACCTGTATTGTCTGTATCTATCTCCTTTGCTCTGGTATGAACGTGCTATGTCTTTAAACTCCCATCAGATCTAAGAGAGCCTGTGTAGATTTGCTCGCCCTTCCTACACAGAACATTACAATGTTTATAAAATATTAAATTTGTGTAGTCTGCCGGAGAAGCAATTGTTCCAAAATAAAATCAGCAGTCTAGACGAAACATAGACACCAGAACTTATCAACAGTTGTCTGACTTACATCTTCTGATGCATCTTGAGTGGGTCATAATACCAACTTTATTTTCAGTGGTGCATAAATTAATTACACGCATTTAATAACCAAAATATCATTATATTCCCCCTTTAATATCATAAAGGCTTTACGCCAGGGAAGCACTTAATGTGCAGGGGGCCATAACAGGCTATTATCCTTGTGTAATGCTATTACAGAACCAATTATGCGCCATTATACTTGCTTTTTTTGCAGTTTATGTGATTTGATCCAATCCCGCGTCCCTGACTTGAAAATTTCATCTGGGTACTTTAAAGTCTAATTTTCACCCGGGCTGAGGCAAGGGCCATCTCTCTCCGCTGAGCCTATGTCTCGGATGCATTTTAAAAGTAATTGCGCAGGGTCCCGCCGCATATCATTTGCAGACGGGAAGCGAGCATAAATCCAGAGACCCCTCGCTGCGAACAAAATCAAACTTTGCCGTGGTACGATCGCTTGGAAAGGCGAGGCGTGTGCAGAGCGACCCCCCAAAACCCATCCGGCGGCAATTACCCGGCGCTCCGGCAGCCCGGGGTGCGGGCGGCGGGCAGCGCTGGGCGCGGTGGGGCCCCCCCGGCCCCGCACCCCGGGGCACCCCGGGGCGGAGGGGGGACACGCCGGGGGCCGGGAGCCCCGGAGCGCCCAGCGCTCAGAAAATAATGGGATTGTGTTGCTGCCGTTCACATTCCTGGCGTTTGCTGAGAAATGACGGTTTTTTCCTTTCATCCTTTCCACCCCCCCTCTGCTCTGCACACCACGTGGGCCATTTGTAGGGCCCAATAGACCTATCCAAGTTACTCACTGTAGACAGCGCTGGAAATAATCAGATTAAGGCCAATTATGCGTGAGATTATAAAGGCAAGTGCTGAGAGGCAGAGCATGCTGTAGACAGATATAAAGACATCTGGCCACTTCCAGAACTCCACAGAGCCCTTCTGTCTCTGAAGCCAACAACTCACAGCGCCTTATTCTAAAGCAAAATACCCCCAAACCTTACCGGTGATTTTTACGTCTGTTCGGTTTAGGTATGGATCACTATATTCATTTGTCTTCTGGATTTTTTTTTATGACTGCATATAAATTTGAATAGTTGTTTGGTGGTTTGTGTTTGTTTGTTTGTTTGTTTGTTTGTTTGTTTGTTTGTTTTTTCCGAGGACATTGGTTTCCAACCCGAACACGGCTCTCAGTGTGTTGGATGCTTTAAAAAGAAGACAGCTTTTAGGTTTTATTGCTGTTTCATTTAGGCAGAATAATTTAGATTTTTTTTAGGCGGTTCTACAAACATTTTTTCTTTATGTAATTACTTGCTCCGGAGAGGAGTATTTGAGGCAATTAGATATATGGGTAGATAGGTAGGTAGATAGATAGATAGATAGTGAGAGAGATCACTATAGCTGGAGAGATAGAAGAACAAGAGAGACAGTCTGCTATTCGGGGGAGAAAACAAACAAAGTTTACTGATTGTGATTACTGTGTGTCTACCACGGAGTCTTCTGCCTTCGGCTTTTTCAGTTCGTTGCAGAGGGTTAGGCATTACTTTCTCTGCTTCCTCTGGGATGGGCTTTAGCGTTGTCAGTGAGTTTCTTCAGGTGTTTTCTTCTGGCTATTCACCCATTCTGTTCTTTCCTTCTCTGTCTTCAGGTCTGCAGGAGACACCTCGGCGGTGCGTGGCGGTGCCCGACTGGGAAGCTGGTGCCGGTCCGTCGGTGCGGGGAGAGCGCGGGAGCCCCGCGCCCCACGGGCTGGCCCCGGCCCCGGCCGCCGGCGGGCTCGCAGCTGCGGGCAGCGGGCGCCCACCCAGCCACAGGGCCATGTTCTACTTCCACTGCCCCCCGCAGCTAGAGGGTGAGTGTTGTCGCACAGAGACGTGTAAGTACCAGAGCTGAACTTCGAGGGGTGGGGTGCGCAGGGGACGGAGGGAGAAACTGTGGTCTGACTTGCTCCACGACTGTCGGGTACAGATACGTGCTGGGATAAAAATGTAGATTTATAAAGGCCACTAAATATTATCCTTTTCCTTAAGAAAACACAATCCTCTCCCCCTCCTCGCTCCCAGCTTTCCCCTCTTGTTACAGGATGGAAAGAATTACTTTTTTTTTTTTTTAATTTGATGCCTGCTGGAAAGGCCTTGGTTTTACACCCCCACCCCTGTCATTTTGCCACCTGCCTCCCCTCTGTGGATAGTGATCCCGCAGTTGAGCCTCAGGCTACGGCAGAGATGCTTTTCTCCCCTCCCAGCACAGATGTTGGTGTCATGGCTGTAATCGGGACACTTTCAGGACGTGGTCACGCCTCCTCCCTCCAGCCAAAGGGACCGCATAAATCTTTAATGCTATTTTACAAACATTCTGCGGGAGGATGGGGGAAAACGAGGCACGACTGAAAAAAAAAAAAGGAAATAAATATTTGGGAGGATGTTTTTCTTTGTGTTATCGGTCAGAGGCTTTTGTCTATTTATTATTATTATTACTATTTGTTTCCCTTAAAAAAATATGGCAGCCGTCGGGATTTCCTCTTGTCACCCCCGTAAATGCCCAGGGCCCTCTGCACCCGCTCCCTCCGGCCAGTGCTCGTAGTGTGCGGAGCATCCTCGGAGCCGCGGCCGCGCAGCCCTAGCCCCGGGCGGGCTATCCCGCCGTGCCCGAGCGCGCCCGCGGCTGCACGGCGGAGAAAGCGACCCGGCCCCGGAAAATACCCCTGCCTGCCCACCCCGTTCCTTGCACGGGCATCGCAGGGAGAGCAAGGGGATTTCCCCGCGGCAGCCCTACCAGGAAGAGACGGCCCAGCTCTCCCCAAAGTTTTCTCCGGGTGGGACAAGGGAGGTGGACTGGGCAGGACAGTGCGAGCATCTCTCCCGCACCTGTCACCAAGCGCTGGGGCGGCTTTGTTCGTTAGTTTTTGGCAACGGCTTTGGAAGCGTGCTCTTGTTTTTGTTTGTTTGTTTGCTTGCTTGTTTGCTTGTTTGTTTGATGTGTGTTTGTTTCTCCGGTGGCAGCGTGGGGCCGGTGCCCGAGACAGGGAGCTACCCCCGCAGTCTGCAGCCTCTCCCGGAGGTGTCCGGGGCCGGCCCTTCATTCTCCCGCCGTGGGTAGCATCGGGGAGGGGGGGAAGGGGCGGACTGTCCTGCTAAAGAGTAAAAAGAATAAATAAATAAATAAATAAAAATATACCACTGTCCAAAACCCCCCACCCACCCATCACCAAAACAGAGGTGGCAACAGAAAAGCTCTCTTCGGCCAGCGTTCGGGCAGTCAGGGAGGCCCAATACCATAAGGAAGAGACCGGACTCTAGGGGTCACCAGGACAGTATTTTATTCTGTGATGAGCCTCTCCCAGGCTAGCAGAGTCGTCCGTCTGTGTGAGGAGGGGGCTGGAGGCCGTGTTTATCTTCCAAACTATGCTGCAAGATGAGCTGCGACCTCCAGCCCCTGTGCCCGCGGTGGGGCCGGGCCGGGCCAGAGCACTCCATGGGCAGGTCTGCGAGTGGGGCCACAGGGACACAGCAACTCTTCTGAGGGTTTGGGTACTTCTCTGTTCCGTGAGGGTTTTTTTGTTTTGTTTTTGTTTGTGGGTTTGGAGGTGGTGGATTTTTGTTTGTTTGCTGTTTCTGAGTTTGGATTAAGTTTTGTGTGTTTTTTTGCTCTGGTTTGTTTTGTTTGGTTGGTTGTTTTTCTTTATCCTGTTTTG